TTTACACTGTCCTACACCATGGAAGAGCCAGTTTGGCATGGGATTTACCTAAACGTGACTTTGACTGTTTACGCCACCTGCTGGAAAAACTGTGCTACTAGCAGTTAAGGGTCCTGTTCTCAACCAAGAGTGGCCATCCAGGATTCTAACTGGACTTTATTTTTAAGTAGGTAGTCAGTTGGTTGATTAGTTTTTTCACAAAGGGTTTCACCATATAGTTCAGGCAGATCTGGCAGGTCTTGAAGTCACTATGTAGTTCAGGCTGGTCTTGAAGTCCTGGTGATCCTCCTATCTCAGCTTCCTGAGGGCTGGGATTAGGTGTGTGATCATAGGCCCACTCTGTTTGTTTGTTTGTTTGTTTGTTTGTTTGTTTGTAATATTGGAAATTGAAGCCAGGGCTTTGGGCATGCTGCAAAGTTGTTCTGAACTATTGAACTATATCCCCAGCTCCTTTTAATTTTAATGCTTCTTTTTTGTACCGGGAGTAGAACTCAGGACCTCATGCTTGCCAGGCAGGCACTGTGCCACTGAGCTATATCCCCAGTCCTATTTTTTTTTTTTTGAGATAGGGTTCACGTTGCTTAAGTGCGCCTTGAACTTCTGCTTCAACTTCCTTGTGGCTGGTATTATAGGCTCATGCTACTGTGCCTCATATTTTTTCTATTTTATTTGCTTTTCTTTTTGTGGGTATCAGGAACTGAACTCAGGTCCTCACACTTGCCAGGCAGGCACTGAGCTCCTGAGTTATATCTTTAGTACTTTTTTCTATTTTAAAATCAGAAGTATGAAAAAAATGATCAGTCTTTTTAATTAACAATATTAAAAAATGTTGAGAAAGGAGCCAAGTGCCGCAACACAAGCCTTAATTTCGGGACTTAGAAGGCTAAAGCAGGAGGATAGCTATTTCAAGGCCAGTCTGGGCTTCTTTGTGTCCAAAAGAAAAAAAAGACAACCCTCTTTCCCATCTTGCATGATGGCGGGTGAAAAAAACTGAGAAGCCAGATACTAAAGAGAAGAAACATGAAGCCAAGAAGGCTGCTGCCAGTGGCACTGGTAAAAAGGGTAACATCAAAGCAAAAAAGTCCAAGAAGGGGCAGCCCCTGGGGCCAGGGAGATAGCTAAGTAGAATAAGCGCTTGCCTGGCAAGCGCATGGGCCTGAGTTCAATCCCCAGTTTCAAAAAAAAAAGAAGGGGAAGCCCCGCTGCAGCCAAAATCCTGTCCTGGTTAGAGGAATTGGTAGATACTCTGGATCTGCTAAGTATTCCAGAAAGGCTTTGTACAAGAGAAAGTACACATAGGGCTGGCCAGATAGCTCAGCGGACTAAAGCGCCTGCTTAGGCAGAGCGCAGCAGGTGACCTATGCCTGTAATCCCAGAGATTGGGAGACTGAAAACAGGAGAATCACTATGAGTCCAATCTATGTAGTGAGACCCTATAGACCCTATAGACCCTGTCCTCGATATAGAAAAAGAAAGTACACAGCTGCTAAACAGAAGGTTGAGAAGAAAAAGGAGAAGGTTCTTGTTACTATCACAAAACCAGAGAGGACAAGAATGGTAGTACCTTGGTGGTTAAGCTTTGAAGAATGCCTAGATACCACCCTCCTGAAGATATGCTCTGAAAGCTGTTGAACCACAGCAAGAAACCCTTCAGTCAGCATGTGAGGACACCTGGAGCTAGCATCTGTCCCGGCACCATCTTGATCATCCTCACCGGGCTTCACAGAGGCAAGAGAGTGGTCTTCCTGAAGCAGTTGGCCAGCGGCTTGCTACTTGCGACTGAGCCTCTTGTTTTTATTTTTTTGGTGGAACCGGGGATTGAACTCAGATCCTTGCGTTTGCCAGTCAAGTGCTTATCCTACTGAGCCATCTCCCCAGCCCCGAGCCTCTTGCTTTTAATCGTGTTCCTCTCTGAAGAACACATGGGAAATCTGTCATTGCTACCTCCATAAAAACTGATATCAGCTAAATGAAAAGCCCCAAATACCTCACTGGTGTTACTTCAGGAAGAAGCTGCAGAAGTCCAGACACCAGGAAGGTGAGCGCTTCAACACTGAGGAAGAGAGATACCAGATTTCAGAGCAGCGCAAGGTGGGTCAGAAAGTGGTAGACTCACAGCTTTTACCAAAATCAAAGCTGTTCTTCAGCTCCGGGGCTACCTGTGATACATTTTTGCTCTGACAAATGGAATTTATCCTCATAAATTAGTGTCCTATTCTTACTAAGAACTAATTAAGAAACTGATACATTAAAAAAAAAGTCAAGAAAGAGGAAAGCAAGAGAGTATAAGAGAAAGTGGGTGGGCACAAATCGCAATATTCACATGTGTGGAAATGGCACAGTGAACACCATTACTGTGTAAAATTCATATGCTTTAATAACAATATTTATCTTGTCTGGCAAGCTCAAGGGCCTGAGTTCAATCCCCGATTCCGGGGGAAAAAAAAACCAAACAAAAAAACAACTATTTATTACTTTTTTTTTTTTTTGGTGGAACTGGGGATTGAACTCAGGCCCTTGCACTTGCCAGGAAAGTGCTTATTCCACTGAGCCATCTTATTACTTTTTATGTATTTGGTGCAGGGTCTCACTAGGCAGCTCAGACTCCTGTCACTAGGCAGTGATCCTCCTGTTTTCAGCCTCCCCAGTACTGGGATTACAGGCATGCACCATTGCGCCAGGACTCAGTCACTGCCTCAGCATGCCGCAGGGGTGAGGCCGGCATGGCATGCCTGGGATGGAGCCTTGGTCCCGGTGTCTGCCTAAGTATACAATCCACTAAACTATCTGGCTGGCCCTCTTTGTATACTTTAGCAGCACATTGTATTTCACACACAGAAAGTATCTGGTTAATTTTGAGATAACAAACCTCAGCAATAATCAGTTCATCATTTGTCTAATATGCATAAGCTCCTACAGATTTTATTTCCAGAATCTTTTCCTCCCTCTCCCTCCCTCCCTCCTTCCCCCCCTCCCCCCCCCTCCTCCTCTTCCTCCTTCTTTTCTCTCTCTCTCTCTCTCTCTCTCTCTCTCTCTCTCTCTCTCTCCCTCTCCCTCTCCCTCTCCCTCTCCCTCTCCCTCTCTCATTCTTTCTTGCAACAGTCTCATTTTGTAGTTCATGCTATGTGGAACTTACTACATGGCCCAGGGTGGTCTCAAACTTGCAGCAAACCTTCTGCCTCAGCCTCCTGAGTGCTGGGATCACAGGCATGCAGCACCACAGCCCATGCTACTAGCTTTTTGGAATTATGGAAAACTCAGCTTTCATTCCTGCTGCCAGGCAACATCTTGGGTAAGTCAAAGTTCTGTCTTTTTGAATGATGTATATATTTTACATAAAATGTGACCTGTTCCTTCGTAGTGGATTACACTGATTTAGGTGGAAGATATTCTACTCCACAGTTGGTGTATAGGTCTTGGGGTTCAAGCTCAAAATGTTTTTACTGGGGAATACACTCACTAGTCATTGATTTCTATCTAACAGTGAATTAAATAATCATCTCTTCTTCCTAGGGTGGTATTGAACTCATAGTGATCTTCCTGCCTCTACCTCCTGAGTGCTGGGATTATAGCCTGTGCCACCATGCCTAGTTTTTCTTTTTTTTTTCTGGTTGTCAGATAATCTCTTTATTGATATATTTTCTTATGCTTTTTAGCTAGCTAGACACTTGGCAGCACTGTTGTTGATGTCATCTATGATGTCATGAGGGTGCCGGCTGTCCACGTTGCAGCCCACAGACTGCGTGGTCCCCAGGATCTCCTTAATGGTTCCAGAAAGTTCTCTGGCTAAAGACCAGAGCCACGTCTGTCAGGCAATGTTGACAATCTCATCAAAAGTGATATTTCCGCTGTGTTTAATGTTTTTCTGCTTCTTTCTGTCTCTTGGCGGCTCCTTGAGGGCTTTGATGATCAGAACAGAGGCAGAAGACACCACCTCAATCTGAGCCTGTCTGTTCTGAATGGTCAGTTTTACCATAACCCACAGGTCCTTCTAGTCACCAGTTGCCTTGGCATTGTCATCCCCCACTTTTTTTGGAGACAGACCCAAGGGACCGATCTTGGGGGCCAGGGCAGACGTGGTACCAACTTCACCATCGGTGCACCTGAGGTACATGACTTTAATTTTGTTGGGGTTGAATTTGGGCGGCATGCTGGAGGTGGCTGGTGTCAGATGAAACCGGATTCGGGACAACTGAAGAAAGTTGCACCCTAGCCTGCTCCTAGCCGAAAGCCGAAAAGGTAGTTTTTCATATTTCCATTTCAATAAGATATTTTCAGCTGGGCGTGGTGGCACATGCCTGTAATCCTAGCACTTGGGAGGCTCAGGCAGGAAGATGACTATTAAAAAACTACAGGATGGGGGCTGGGGAGATGGCTCAGTGGAATAAGTGCTTCCCTGGTAAGCGCAAGGGCCTGAGTTCAATCCCCGGTTCTGCTAAATAAATAAATAAATAAATAAATAAATAAATTACAGGGTATCACGAGACCCTGTACCACCTTGGTCACCCCTGTACCAGTCTGTTGTGGTGTAACTCTCTGCCATAGCTGGTCTGATGAACAGGACCTGGGGTATCTGCTGCTGGTGTCCAGAGGGGCTGCCACATCCTATGGTTCTCAAGGGCTGTCTTAGTTACTTTTCTTGTTGCTGAGACAAAATACCCAACATCCAAAGTTAAAGAAGGAAAAGTTCTTTGGCTCACAGTTTGTGGAGTCCATTCCGGGCTGGCCCCAAGGCAGGGAGGCACATGGCAGGGGGGCATCACAGAGGAGAAACAGTCCAGGGCAAAGCGGGGCTGGGAAGTAGCAAGTAGCAGCGGCAAGCAGCAAGCGACAAGTGACCAGAGACTCTGTCCCTTACACTTCATCCAGGCTGTTGGCCCTGAGGCAGGTAGCACTCACATCCTAGCCAGAACTATACCAAACCAATCAGTGGAGTATTCAGTAATCACGCACCCTTATCCCAGCACTACTGTAGATCCAGCTACCTCTGAGAAGCCCCACTGTGGCTGCATGAGACTTTTTTTAAAAAATGTATTTATTTATTTTTTAAGTTGAAAAATCATTTATTTCACTGGAAAGATAAAAGTGATCCAACTCTAGGTCTAGCCTTTGGGCTAAAAGAAACCCAACAGTTCTGCCAAAAAAAATTAAAAAATAAAAATAAAAATGAAAGAAACCCAAGAGCAGTGGTGACTCACCAAGGTCATTCCCAAATCCAACACTCAATGCAGGCAGGAGGCAGGGAGGAGACAGGGCAGCCCCCACCACAGCTTCTGCATATAGTGAGGCCTGCTGGGAAAACAACATGAATGGGAAGCTGCAGAAGTATTAAACAATAAGGCCAGGGAGATAGCTCAGTAGAATAAGTGTTTGCCTGGCAAGCACAAGGTCTTGAGTTCAATCCCCAGTACTGGGAAAAACAAAACAAACAAAACCCCAGCAAGAACAGAATAATTGGCACTAGAGAGAAAAAGAAAGGAGATCTGAACTTAGCAAGGTAAATTAAGGTCCACAGTTCCTGAGGGACCTAATGCACAGAGCCAAAAACGTCCCAGAGATGGGGTACCAATGAAGTGTGTATTCTCATGCACGACCGCAGCTGGGAATTTCAGCCCACACACATCCCACCTTGAAACTGTTATCAAGGCCCCTGATGGCCTTCACAGCATCTTCTGCCCGCTCCATGTGTACAAGGGCATAATCTTCCACGATGTCACAGTCGATGACTGGACCATATTCCTCAAATTTGGCCCAAAGCTCTTTGTTGGTACAGGTGGGGCTGAGGTCACCCACGTGTAACTCAGCTGAAGCTTTGCTCCTGTACTTGCTGGCTTCCACATTGGTGTTCACCTCGTGCGACTCAGAGTGGTGCAGGTTCCGGATGGCATCCTTTGCCGCTGTCTTGTCCTCTGTGTGCACAAAGCCATAGTGCTTAATGTCACATTCCAACACCTTCCATACTGCTCAAAGAGTGAGCAGATGCTTGCTCTGTGGTCCCTCGGGGCAGGTTTCTAATGAACAGCTTCACCATCTCAACCCAGCCAAACGGAAGGGCCTCTTCCTCACAGCGCAGAGGCTTCGGACCTTTTTTTAAAATGTATTTAGTACAGGGTCCACAGGGTCTCATTACACAGATCAGACTTGTAGTGATCCTCCTTGTTTTCAGTTGCCCAAGCTGGGATTACAGGCGCGCTACCACACCCTGTATCCATCACCATTTCAGTGCGCCGTGGCCTCTGCATCTGCCTAAGCAGGCTCTTTAATCCGTGAGCTACCTAGCTGGCCCTGCATGAGACTTTGGGAAGACATCTAGACACAGACTATACCAAGGTCTATACTTTGTTTTCTCTCTGGTTTGACCAGAGGTCTTTTCTGGTCCTCTATTTTAACTATTTGGGCAGTGTTGAAGGCAAAAGACATTTTTACATTCAACCAAAGGCATAAAAAATAATTCCTGGAACTGTTTTTGCACAGCACTGAGAAATGATAGCTTTTCTCCAAATATCCAAACTCAATAATGGTGTTTTCAGTTGGGCGTGGTGGTGTACGCCTGTAATCCCAGCACAGGGGAGGCTGAGGCAGGAGGCTCTCCATGAGTTCTAGGCCAGCATGGGCTACATAGTGAGTTCAAGGCCAATCTGCACTATATAGCAAGAAAAAATTTTTTGACATGGTAATTAAAGGTGCTTTCAGCAAAAGTCTTGCTACTGGCTAAGAAAGGAACATCAGTACCTCATGACTTCGGTGAGTTCCATGCTTGTTTCTCCCACTCTAAGATGAGTTAGTCAGCACCTAAATTTATGTCCAAGTACTATTGGGGAAAAGGTCCTGTGTTTTCTGGAGAATGCCAGCTATAATAAAAGTGAAGATATATGCCTTGCCCCAAATTAAGACAAATGCAATCCTGGCAAACATGTACCAATCAAATGTTTACAGACAAAAATAGCCCAAGCTGGGTGTAATAGTGCATACCTGTAATCCAACACACTATCAACCATTACAAACAACATCAACAAACCCATTGTTTTTCTTTTTCTTTTTTTGAGACAATTTCATTATGTTGCAGTTCAGATTGGCCTTGAATTACGTAGCCCAGGCTGGCCTAGAACTCATGGAGATACTCCTGCCTCAGCCTCCTGAGTGTGGGGGAACTACAGACATGCCACCACACTCAGCTAAAATCTCATCTTTTTCAAAATTGTTTTGTTCTCCATATTCCCATATGGACTTTAAAAATCCACTTGTGTTTTTTTTTTTTAATGTATTTGGTATAGGGTCTCACTAGGCAGCTAGGACTCGTAGTGATTCTCCTGTTTTCAGCCTCCCCAGCACTGGGATTACAGGCGTGCACCACCACACCTGGTCTTGGTAGCCAGCTCAGCATGCCCAGAGCTGGGGCTGGCACAGCATGTGCTGGGAATGGAACCAGTCTCTGAGCTTGCCTAAGCAGGTCCTTAGTCTGCTGAGCTATCTCACTGGTCCCCACTTGTCATTAAAAAAAAATTCAGGTATTTTCATGTGAATTTTGTTGTCTATTGAAGTAAGTTTAAGCAAACTTGACATCATAGCTATTATGGCTTATATCTAGATGTACCCCTAAAAACTTCATGCGGCCATAGGAGGGCTTTTTCAGAGGTGACTGAATATAGTGATGCTAGGATTAAGGGTATGTGATTATTAAATTAGTCCACTTATTGATTTGACATAGTTCTGGACAGGATTAAGGGTACCCCACCCTGGGTATGAGTGCTACCCGCCCTAAAATAAAAGGGACAGAAAGATATAGTGTGTTGCTAGTCAGTTGCTGCATTTGTCTGTTAAGAACCATGTCTCCTCTTCACTGCCCCTCTGCCATGTCACCCTATTTAGAAGCTAGCTGTCTGTATATTGAAACCTCTACGAACTGTGAGCTGAAGAAACCTTTCCTCTTTTAACTTTCTGTGTTGGGTATTTTGCCTCAGCAACAAGAAAAATAACTAAAACAATAGCTGAATCTTATGACCAATGAACATGGCATACTGTGATCGCCAATAGATTGTGCCAAATTAGGTAAGAAATGCCCAACTAGTTGAATCAGCACAGTTCTGGGTGTGGCTGAAGGCATTTACTGAAGCCCTGGGTGTGAGCAACACCAACCCTTAGGCTTGCCTCCCAAGTGGAATAAACGAAGGAAGGCTTGCTTCTGTTTTTGTAGAGGAGCTCATCTTCACCTTCACCGTGGACTGCATCTCGAGTCTTCTGTCACAGGCCCTTCAGGGCCCCAATAGGACTCTGTCCAGACACTACATCAAGCTCCAGGCCTCCGCTGGATCCTTGGGGGATCCAGGCAGCCCTTTTGCATTCTTCTCCACCTGACTGTGGGCACCTGGGATGGGTGACTGACTTTCAGATTGGGATGTTTAGTTGAGAAGCTTAATAAGACCCAGAAATTTCATGCCCTGAGTGGGAAAGACCCACCCTAGGGTGACTCATGGCCTGGATAGTATAAAAGGGAAATGAGGAAGGGCAGATCTGCTTATTTCTTCCGAGGAGCTCCAGTATTCACCTTTATCTCCATCTCCTGGCTTCTGGCATAGACCCTTCAGCCTTCCATTGCAGACCTACCAGTCTCCTGATATGGACTCCCATGGGAAACTTCAAGGAACTCCAGGACTTGGACTGAATCCTTCATTCTCCAGTGTGTAGACCTTCTGTACTCTTCCTCACCTGACTCTGTGGGAGATTACAGTAAGCCAATCTTGTACATTCTTTTTCTTTCTGAGACAGGGTCTCACTTTGCAGTTCAGGCTGGCCATGAACTAACTTTGTATCCCAGGCTGGTCTCGAACTTGCAATAATTGATCCTCCTGCCTCAGGTTCCCACAAGCGTGTGCCACTACGCCTGGCTTGTACATTCTTATACATTGCGATATCTTGTGTTAAATCTATGTCTCTAGCAAAATACTGACTGATACAGTAGGCATTTCTTGGTGACAGGCAAGATGGTAGTGACAATTGTGTTTTGGATCCAGCTGCTCCTTCTACTGCCCTAGTATCATTCCACTTCTTACACACCTCTGTGCAGAGGCAGCTGGCAGATCAGGGAGATGGTGTGTGGCTGGCCCCAGAGGAAGACAATTTCTTGAAGACCGCGGAAAGAAGGGAGCTGCAGAGTGTGAATTCCCCAGAATCCCCCAAGGAACTGGTCATCCCATTAACCCAGAATGGCTATCGCAGGCAGCCCTCAGGCCAAACTCCTGGGCCATTCAGAGAGGCGTTGGCAGATATGGTGCTGTCCCAGGCTGTGAAGGAATTCTATGAGAAATCCAAGATGTCTCTAGAGGAGAGAGACAATGTGGGTGTTGACCCCATGCTCACTATTCCCATGATCCAGAGAGGATGCACCCCCAATGAGAAAAGGGTAGACAGAGACCACCAGGCTGAGATGGTGCCAGAGGCTGATTATGACACCGTCCCTGTAGAGGCCTATGGGATGGCCATGCTGCGGGGCATGGGCTGGAAACCTGGCAAGGGCATTGGCTGCACTTGTAGTCAAGTGGTAAAACCCTGTGTAAACTCACCAAAGCCTAAGGGGTTAGGGTTGGGTGCTAACCTGCCTGAGGCCCAGGCCTTGGCCTCCAGGGACTGCTACCACCCACCAAGGCCAGATGGGGAGCCAGAGAAGCATAAGGAAGACCACACTCAAGGGCTGGTACCTGGAGGCACTGTAGTGGTCCTTGCTGGCCCTTATCAACACCTCTATGGCAAGGTGGAAGGCCTTGGTCCTGACAGTGTGTGCGCCATGGTTCGGCTAGCAGTGGGCCATCATGTGGTGACTATTAGCAGCTACTGCCTGAGACCTGTGTCTCAGCAGGAGTTTGACAAGAATTCCCTGCACCCTGCCCAGAGAAGCAGAACTTGCTCTGGACAACACAATAGAACAGCCTTGTTATAGAACGTGCACAAGAGTGAAGACCTGCATGACTCTCAGGAGGACTCAGAAGCGGAAACATACTCCAGCTAAACAAAATGGGGCTGCAGCCAAGAGAGAAAAAGCTGCTGGTAGGAGTCAGCACTGGCTGCACAGAGACCTGCGCATGCGCTTCGTGGACAAGCTGTACATGGGCGGCGGTACCACAACACCAAGGTGACGACTGAGGATGTGCTGAGCCCAGGCACATGTATGTGCAGGACGGATGAAGGCTGAGTGCTGGAAGGCATGAGAGAAGATATGCTGGAGACGCTGGCTCCCAAGGGCGAGGGTGATCGTGTGATGGTCCTGCTGGGGCCACACGCTGGAAAGGTGGGCCATCTGCTGGGCAGGGACAGAGCCCGGAGCCAGGGTGTGGTGCAGCTTTGGAGAGAGAATCTTCTGGTGGCGCTTCACTACAATGCCATGTGCCAGTATACGGGTCCCAATGACTCCGGTGAAGACTAGGAGACGACTCCTATCCTGCAGGCTTTTTTTTTTTTTTTGGTGGAACCGGGGATTGATCTCAGGCCCTTGCACTTGCCAGGAAGGGCTTATTCTACTGAGCCATCTCCCTGGCCCCTCTGCAGGCTTTTAACAGTGTTTAAAAATTTTTTTATGAAAAAATAAAACAAATTTTCATACAAAAAAACAACGTGTTACTATTGTGTAATATTTAAATGCACCCCATTCCCATCTCTGGCGCAGACCACAATGGCCTTGTTTTGTTTCCAGAATATCGTGAAATGCAAATAAGTATTTGGTTCAGTCGGTTTGCGTGATTAGCACAAGCTTGTCTCTTGCAACGACAAAGGGTCTTCGAAGCCCGAGCACCAGCTCAACTAGGCCGCGCAGCCGTCGCCGTGTAAGCGCGGGCACCGTCAGCAATTCGCAGCTCTGGCTCTAGTTCGATCTCTGAACGCCTTTGTGACTTGCTGGACCTGTTTCCTCTTCAAGAAATGGGGAGCGGAGGCGGCTGGAGCCCAAAAGTGTCTTTGATGAGTCTGACTGTCTGAGTCCAGGTGCAAACTGCACGCACGCTCCAGCCTCCACGTCTGTGGAGACATCCGACTGCAGCGAGCGCGCCGCCTGTGTTCTCTGGGAGGAGCCGCGCGCCCACGCAAGTCTCCTTCCGGTGAGCACCTGCAAAACGCTCCGGCCGGCCGGCCGCCACTCCCGGCGCTGTAGTTCCTGGGCCTCCCCGGGGGACGCGGTTGCCTGCGACACCAAAGAGAGGCGGGTCAGGAAGTGGGGGCGTGGCGGCTGGAGCGGGGCCGGCAGCGGGCCCGGGGCGGCCGAGGGCTTCGGCGACGCGAGGGGACGCCGTCTCCGGGCCGTGCTGGAGCCTCAGGCCGACCCCGGCGGCGTGGAGACGATGGCGGAGGAAGAAGGTGATGGTCTCTGGTCCGGCGCCGCCCGGGAGCGCGGGGAAGGGGCGGCAGGCGGCGGAGAGGCGGGCGGGAGGGCGGGCGGCGGGCTCCGAGTTTGCACGAGTGGAAGCCGCGCTGGGGCTTGAAGTTGGGAGCCGGAGAGCAGGGTGCGGGGGGTGTGGCCGCGCCCAGGCCCGGGCGCTCGGCGTGGAGTGGGAGCGCGGTGAGGGGTGCGTCAGGAGCGGGGTCGTTGTTCAGCCAGGTGGGTGTGCGGGAGCCGAGAGAGGCTTGGCGGGGTTGCAGGCCGGCGGGGCAAATAGAGGCGGGGACCTGGGGTGACGCGGTAAGGGGAACGCGAGGGGGAGACGCGGGAAGCCGAGAAGGCCCGGCGCGCGAGGGGCGCGGGGCGGGACGCGAGGGCCGAGGCGCGGGCGGGGACGTGGGGCTCGGAGGGCGGCCGGCTCCCCTGCCTCCTGCGGCCAGCGCCCTGCAGGATCCCTCCCGCGCGCCGCACTTACCGTGAGAGGTGAGTGGACGGCTGGAAGCAGTCTGCGGCCGCAGTCTGAGGCAATATCCACGGCCCAGTAACTCCGTGAAGTAGTTCCGAACCTCTCTGTACCAGTTCTGGGAACAGATAGATGTGGCGGTTCACTAGACTGAGCGGTTAGATTTTTGCACTGACAGAAAATAAGACTTTCTGCTTTGAGTGGAGTGGTGAATGTGGTAATGAATTGACTTAATTCACGTTTAAGTCTTTGAACCAACTGTACAAGAAGGGAGTTTGAAGGGCTCAGTAGAAAGCGATTTAAAAAAAAAAATGAAAGAAGTTGTCACTATTCTGTGACTTTCTGCTCTGTCCTTTGTATACCTCCTTTTCCTTGATATTTTATTTTTAACTATAATAAAGATTTAAGAGCTTTTACTGAAAACAGCTTTAAAATCAGTTACCTGTAGTTGATCAGGAAGAACGTCGTTCCATTTGTTTTGTTGGTTTTATCTGCAGTTCCAATATATTATTTGAAATATTTTTTTCAAATATTTTGCTGGTTAACTAGTTGCAAATCTGTGGGAGTAGGTTGACAAACTAACTTGTATGTTCCCATGAATACATTCATGCTTAATTTAAAACATGAAAAAAATTGTGTAACACTAGAAGTATCTAATACTGTCCATCATACAGAAAAGTTATTTAGGAGATTATAGCTGGGCCTGATTAGATAGCTATGATGTGCCGCAATGAACTATATCTTTTTTTTTTCTTTTTTTAATTATCCCAATTTTTATTCTTTCATGTGTTGCTCAGGATAACCCAATGAATATCTTACAGTAAGATCAGTTCATATCTCTTTTTACTTAATGTAAACAAATCAACCCCAACTACTACCCAACATTCAAGAGATTTCATAGTTTTCACAACCAAATTTAGAATAATCCCAAGTAATAAAAACAATAGCAATATAAATATTAAAAACAAAAATATATTGTAGGAAATATGAAATGTAATTTATATATCTTATTTGTCAAGTAAAGTACATATAGATATACTATAAAGTTACCTTTTTAGGGGCTACGGAGATAGCTCAGTAGAATAAGCACTTACCTGGCAAGCGCAAGGGCCTGAGTTCAATCCCTAGTTCACCAAAAAAAATAAGTAAATAAAGTTACCTTTTTTGCCTTGGAGTTTAAGATTGTTTTATCTTTTGCCCAGGCTACTTTTTCTGATCATATGCTAATGTCAGCATACTCTGGATTTTGTATTTAATTGATCATTTACATTTTACACATCTGTCACTTGAGAACCATATTTGCTGCTTCATGATTACTGAAGTTTGGTGATATAAAATTCACTGTCTTCATATATTTGAGTCGTACCGATTGTGGTTTTGGAAGTCTCTGTGAGCATATCTTGTGTAAGTCTGGCTGTGTGGGATCCTGCCAAAAGGCTTGTGGTCATTGAAACGAGATTCAAAAACTTGGGGCCGGGGAGATGGCTCAGTAGAATAAGCACTTCCCTGGCAAGCACAAGGGCCTGAAGCCCCGTTCCACCAAAAAAAAAAAAAAAAAAAAAAAATCAAAAACTTCA